TGGCATAAAGCAGATAATCGGCCACATCAATTTCGTTTCAAAGAATTCTTGCGCAGTTGATGACATTACTTGGTATGAAAGAGACCCTGTATGTTCTGAACTTACCACACAGTAACTTGTTAAAGACTTACTAGTGAATTTTTTCTAGGATTGTCCTGGAATACAGATAAGCTTGAATAAGCCCAAGAAATTTCTGGCAGGTTTCTTGGGGAAGGAAATTTTCTCAGTCAGAGATTCCAGAGACACTGGCTCAGCCGTGCCAGAGGGGTCCCCCAGGGTCTGCTCGTCATTGTGGGGAAGACAAAGTTGGGTCACAGATCCTTGTGAAGGCTTGTCTGCCGTCAGAAAATGAGATTGACGCCCTGAAAGAATCTTCCTGCGTTTCCTCTTGATGATGCGGGCAGGATGCATGGGCAGGATGCATGTTTCATGTAATCAACCTCTTCGAAAAAGGATTCCGAGAAGAGCTGGCTCCAGGGACGAGGGCTCACAGACCCCAGTGCAGACCTGTGACAATCATAAACTTTTTTTTTTTTTTTTTGACTTCTGCTAGCGCGGCAGCTTGGTTTTGACAGCTGAGTTCAAAAGAGTCTGTCTCTAAGATCCTTAATATGGGCCCAGTGAACACAGGTTTGGTACTCAGAGACTGAGTTCTTTGTAGGGCACTGTTTTATAGCACTTCCAGCTTTGCGATCTGTATACCGGGCCAGTCCTGGGCTCCCGGTCCAAGAAGAATTTGGGCCCATCCTTGACCTCGACAGGATTTTGGAGCAGAATCAGTTAAGTGGTCTCCTTACACTTCCGAGAGAGAGAGAGAATCATTAAAAGAAACAACCATAATATTTAAATTTCCGGAAATGACTCTTCTGATGATTATCCACAGCCCATCAAAATTAACTGGGTTTTCTTCTGCATAACACGCCTTTAAGGTATTTAATATTTAAAGTTTCTTTCTGGAAACATGCGCTGGGTTTTGATGACAATTTCTAAGGACCCATAAAAGGTGAGGGATAATGATATGACGGCACTAGTTTGGGGAGGGGCTATTCGAGGGCTGAATAGAGGGAGAAAGACGCGCTTTGGAAAACCGCTGATAATGTCCCCACCTTCGGGTGATCTGAGGCCCTTTCCCAGGCAGAGCTGGGGCTCTGCTGTGGGAGCACCCTGCATCGCTCCCAGACACCAGACGCGTGACGTAAGCCTGAAGGTGAATCGGAAGCGAGACATGAGCCACCAGGGAATCAGAAACCCTCCTAACGGGGTGGCACCACCCAGCCACTGAAGTAGCAGTGACACACACAAATGGAACTGAATGCCAGGTTAATGGGTGTCGTGCTTGACTCCTGAGTGGGGAATGTCAGCTGGGTGGACAGAAGGTTGGCGGAATCCCATCTGATATGCCTGGTGAATGGCATCACCCAATGAGCAGCACTAGACAGACCTTCTCGAATGTGAGCTTAGAGCAGACTCTGCTGTCCGGGGCAGCTGAGGGATTCTGACACGGAGGAGCCGGATCCTCTGCCAAGGATTGTTTCAGGCACAGGCACTTAGGGGTGGGCCGTGAGGTGGGAACGCCTTCGGGGAAACATTTTCTTCAACCTTAAAAAAGACACGGAGGGAGAGAGGTGTTCTCTTTCTGTGGGATGTGCCAAGGCGGCACGTGTCTGGGTCCTTGAGCGCATCGGGGGGGTGTGGGGTTCACTCCTCCCAGGCCACCCTTCCCTCGGACTTGTCCCCTTGGGAAGCGATCCCACCCCTTTCATCTTACAAGGCTGTGCCCTCTGTTATTTGCAGCTGAGCGCTTCCAAAGAACTTGATCCTAAACTCGGGCGATTCTTAATTCCTGGGCCACGGTACTGTTTCTCTTTGGAAGGCAGGCATTTTGCCCTCCAGTATGGATAATTGGTCAAAATGGGAACAAAATAGGAATGCACAAAATAGGAAACTATAGACGAACCGCACAGATTACCACCGTCAGGCAGCGCAGCTTCCACGGGGCATTTCCGAAGGTGGCATATAATCATGCTTTGGCCTTGCCCAAGGAGAGCGACAAAGCATTTCACTTCCCCGGCGGTGGCGGCCAGGGACCCAAGGAAGCAGATGTTCTCTATCTGTTAGATATAAATCGAATCCCAGGCAGGAGTCTGAAGAACTTCCAGGCACCTCTCTTGGTGAAAGCCTCAGCGTTGGAGACGAAAACAGTAGAATTGATTCCTTGGTAAGACTCAGCCTGACATGTAAAAACAAACTCCCTATTTCCAAAGTGATTTGTGGGACTGATGGGTGTAATGTTAGGTCGTGATCCCTCTGTTTCTGGGCGACAACTCGTGTCCCCACACCCCCATCTCCAGTCATTGAAAGGTTTTCTGCGGTTAAAAGCAGACACTTAAGGTCAATGGTAGACTAGTATCCCAGGTGGTGGCTGTTTTCAGGACGTTAGTGCTCACCTGGCTTTGTTTCCTTTTGTGTTTTTAACAAAGTGAGCAGATGAGGAGGTAAGGAAATAGGTCTTTGTGGGAGGGGCTGTCTCTTCCTCCAATGTGGGTTTCGGGGATAAAATCTGGGCGTGAGAAATGACGGGGTTAGAAAGGAGCCGGAGGTGAAAAGCAGTGGTCACTATGTATTCCCCGTGGCTCCGTCAAGGCGAACGTGTCAAACACTTCACTGGACTAACTTCCCCGGGAAGAAACAGAAAAGGTGCTCGTCCAGAAGCACAGGTTTTCTCCAAGCCCCGGATAGTTTTAATCCTGAATACAAATTCACATCCACACGTTCATTATTGGATTTAGGTCCTGTTTAACTGAAAACACAAAATCGGTCTTTTGAAACTGAATTTCGAGATCCGCCGAGGCAGTGGGTAGACGATTCCCAGAGTGGACGTCGCTGTTTGGAGGTCTTACCTCTCGTAAGGAGATGGACGAAACGCAGCCGGGAGCCATAGGCTCTGCCGTGGGACGGCCGTGGGCAGACTCCAGGGGCCCTGCTTTCCGCCGTGGGACCCCACGGACCTGACGATGGCTTCCTTCTGGTTAAACAGACTGGCCGGGGGGCGCCTGGGTGCCTTAGTCAGTTAAGCGTCCGACTTTTGCTTAGGTCATGATCTCGCAGTTTGTGGGTTCGAGCCCCGCGTCGGGCTCTGTGCTGACTGCCAGCTCAGAGCCTGGAGCCTATTTCGGAGTCTGTGTCTCCCTCTCTCTCTGACCCTCCCCTGTTCACGCTGTCTCTCTCTCTCCTAGAAATAAATAAAAATATTAAAAAATACAAACAAAACAGACTGGCCGGATTACAGACCGCACTCAAAGTTGTCGTGAGGACTAAGACAACGTAAACAAAATGCGGAGCGCAGCCGGGTGGTGGCTGCCCAGAACCCCTGTAACAGGCGCAGCTAGGGCTGTTACCGTCCAGGGTTAGAGCTGATAAGAGACGGTGCCAATTTCTCCATCTCAATCTAATTAAAATGCATAAGCTGCTAAATTAAAGAAAAAAGAAAAAAGGAATAGAATTATCCTTATAGGGAAGCTTCAGTGTATAAACAGGATGTTTAATAAAGTTCATTTTGGGGCGCCTGGGGGGCCCAGTCGGTGAAGCCTCTGACTTCAGCTCAGGTCAGGATCCCACGGTTAGTGGTTGGAGCCCCGTCGGGCTCTGTGCTGACAGCTCGGAGGGGGGGCCCTGCTTCCGATTCTGTCTCCCCTTCTCTCTGCTCCTCCCCTGTTCACGCTCTGTCTCTGTTTATCAATATTAAATAAACATTAAAAAAATAGAAAAGTTGATTTTAAGTGGGTTGTTTAGAGGACTCTGTGTTCCCATGGCAACAGTGTTGTAAGTACAGCTGGGACCCCAACCACTCACAGAGAGAAAGTAACGTGTAATTACCCCAGACACTGGAGGGTTATCCTGCTGAGGTCAAACGCGCCGGCCCTTTACTGGAAACGGAACGCTAGGAGACCAAAGCTGGGAAGACAGGACTAGCTCGAGGCCGGCGAGGAGGCGGATGGGGCCTCTGGCGCCGGGAGGCGAGGGCCTCGCATCCAACAAACCGAACCCCGTTTTGCGGGGCGCAAGGCCCTGACGCTCACCGGTCCTACCCAGCAGGGCCTTCGTGGTGGGCGGGAGAACGAGGGGCCGCTGGAGGGAAGGAGAGGCCCCGCCCCGCCCGCCCGCGATCACCGTGGGGCCTGCCAGCGGCCAGGCGTTCCGCGTGCGCCGGGTGTGTGCCCACCGCGGCCACGCGCCCCGGAGGGCTGCCTGGCGGAGGCCGCGGCGCGCGGAGGGGCTGGTGGCCGGCCCTGGGAGGGGGCAGCGGGTGGACCCGGCTCGCGGCACGAAGGCCTGGTTCCGGGTGGGCGCGGGTGACCTAACTGAACGGGCGTCCGGCCACCTCGCTCCCCCGGGAGGAAGGCCATCCTATCGCACGGAGGCGAGGGCCTCACGGGGTCACACAGCTATTTTACATCAGGCCAAGCGAAGCCTCGCCTGCAGGCCTGGAGAACAGGTCAAGTGAGAACTGGGCGTTGCAGGCAGTTATAAATTGGATCCAAAGCTATGTATTGGATTACTTTAACACGATCTCCCTCTGTGTATTTTACACACACTAGTTCAATGAAATGTTAATTAGCTGCTAAGTATAAAGAAAGATCCTTGGTCAAATAACTTGGAAACTGGCAGGTGAGAAAGTTAAATCACAGTCTCTGCTCAGGGATCTCAGAGCCTTTAATATGCTAATTTGCCCCGGGAATCTTCATGAAGCCAATCGGGCAGGAGGCAAGTTTTCTAAACCCTTCCCTCCCAGCGCCTCCCGGAGCACCAGTGTCCCCAGCAGTGGGGAGGTGGCCCCTCTCACCCGGCACAGCCCTGCCCACACCACCCTTTCCCCTGGGGCCGCGTGTACTCGGTCCTTCCTGAGGCCTCAGCCTGGGATCTAACCCAGCGCCGCGCGCTTGCATCTGAAAACGTGGAGACCCACACAAATCACTTGTGACACAAAGGAAGCTCCAGAGCAGGATTTCAGGCACCTTTATTCACGGCAGGTATTTCCGGTCAGGAGCCCTTGCCCCTGACATCTGGTGTGAACGGGAGGAAGACAACTCCTACCTAAATCCCGACAGTGACCGGCACCACTTGCACTTGGCGCTGACTAGGCCTGGCGGCGCCCTGCACGCAGCGCGCGGTGGCCAGAGGCTGGGGGCCGGGGGCGCACCGGCTCAGCCTGGCCTGGCGCCTCAGAGGAGTGTCTGTGGCAGGGACAGGGGGTCAGCACTCAGCTCACAGCAAACTTCCTCCTCCGGGTTACCTATGTCAGCTATACACAGGACAAATGATTTCTTCATAATATATATTTGCAGTACAAACACGACTGGTGACCTAGGAAACTTTAAAAAAACTCACACTGTTCATTCAGGGTTTCTCTCTAAGAAGCACTATACGATCCCTCAACTTGTCCCATTTTTTTGGAGACAGAGTCACGTCGCTGTGACAATGACACGGTGTCCCGCACAGTCAGTGCCGGCCTCTAGGCTTAGTGCTCGGGGCACTGCCGTTTTGAGCGGCAAGAGTTATAAGAACAATAATAAAACCATGACTCTAACAATTTAGGTAAGAAATCGCTTAAAGAAACAGTGTATCTTAAAAACTTGAGCCTCTTAGGAGTCATTTATCATCTGCTGGCCAGGCGAGTGGCTCGGACTTAACACGGTCTGCTCTCCGTTCTGTTCCTTCTCCCGGTCAGTAGCTCCAAGAACAGAGGGCAAGCGGGGTCGTAAAATCCTGCCAGACTTTCAACGAGGACTATTGCAGACGCCCAGCGCAGGGGCGACCGGAGGACTCAAATCTCATGCAAAACTCTAACTAATAAGCGCCTCCGTTACATTAGGCAGTTCTGGCGTTTTCCAGATGTAAGGATTCTAACGCACCGACCACCGAGACGGTCGCGGTCACTCCTCGTTACTCTGGCCTCTGACCTCAGAGCCTTACGACATCGAACTGCGGTTCAACTTTCAGTTGTGGCAGCAGGGGAGCGCCAGAGATTTCTGAAGGAACAATGTTTACATATTTTGAACCATTTGGAAAGAATCACCAACATGCTATTCGGTGCTGGCTCAACAGTCACTGTGCTGACAGAGAGTCGCCGACTTGCCAAATGTCTTCCTTCACAAAGTCTGATTGTAACTGAAGGGCCTACTGTATGCCTAATAAAAATTTACACAGCAACTTTCATCAAACAGCAACTACTGCAAAAGGAATGGTAGAAAACAATGACTTCACAAATATGCACTAAAAAACTGGACAATCTTATGCAAGAACCGCCAAAGTGTTAGTGTTTAATATTTAACAGCACGACTGACCAAGGTCCAAGATGTGACGTTACCATGTTCAAGAAACTGGGGGGAGAATCACTCTATAAACTAACTAGATAGTATGTGATAAGAACGCACGCTTTCTAATAGAAAACCTGTCTACGCATAGTAGTTGCTTCAGAAAGCCATTCGGTCTTCTCTTCGCTTGTAAAAACGGTGTCCCGGATCTCAGGGGGAATTAGCAACCTGTCGCAAGAGGAAAAACCAACAACATGATGGACAAGAAGGACAATTACCAACTGTACACGCTTTCAGAAGCCCCTACGGAGCTAAATGGAAGTTTCAGTGCACGATGCCCCAACCAAGATCCAAGAGACGGAGTGGAAGTCGTTATTTAAACACTTCTGAACGCGTTCCCGGCCTCTCCGCCTATTACCCCCGGTCACGAGGAAGCGTCCGATCTTGCCGTTCTCACTCGCTGCAGCGGGACCCAGACCCCGACTCCGAGAAGCTTCTACGACTGGCGGGCGGGCAACTTCCCAGGTCACCCCTCTACAGGTATAGAGAGAGGCCCAGCCACACGAACAACAGTGTGACTCCCTCAACCCGATCCGTTAGAGGAACCACAAATTTCGAGGTCTTTTACCTCCCAAGTCTCTATTTTCTTGGACTTCAAAGCAACCTGTATTTTATAGGCCCAGCCTGGTCCAGCCAGGACGTGCCCAGGACACGCACAAAAAAGGAATTTGGTGCCTTTGGCTGTATATTCTGCTTGGCACTACAGTTTCCAAAGATTCTCCAGAAACTTTATTTTTATACGGAATTAAATTGCTGAAAATGGGATGAGGGAAAAGCGAGTTTGAAAATTACTTTTGGGTTGCGACGAGGTCACCACCATCCTCACGGAAAGCCTTAAAACAAGCAACTCGCTACGGGGAGAGTATGGAGGCCAGCGGCCTCTTGCTATGGGGCTATTTTCGATTATTAGTCTTTTCTCCAAATCTGGAACTACGTAGTGGGAATTTAAATCAACTCTAGGGTGAAGGCTTAACGTGGCCTCATGTAGCGCGTCTAAGACACAATCTGTTGCCGTCCCGGCATTTATCCAGAGCAGGAATTCAATGCATTTTATGAAGGTGACCATGTGGGGTCTGGGTTATCAAAAAAAAAAAAAGAAGAAGAAGAAGAAGAAGAAGAAAAATCGGCCAGTGGTAAGAATTCTCAGGCATTTCTTGGTTTCTGGCTGCAGCGATACAAACTCAGTGACCACCTAACGTTAGTCAATTATCTCAAATAATAAGGGTACAGGTCTAATGAATAAGCACTGGGAAAATAAATTCCTCCTAAAGAATTTGGCATGAAAAATCCGCGAGCGCGGAGCCCGCGGAGGGGACGGTACAGGAGATGGCTTGCGAGGATGAGGGGCGGGAAGTGACGGGGAGGAGTCTGCCGGCATGGAAGTTATGGTGATGCACACCCCACCCTGAGACTGTCACCTCCCTCACCTTCAACTCTTCGGCGTGGCAGGGATCTTGTTTTCACCTTCCAGCTCTTCTACCCCAGCCTGTGTCATGAGGTCTGCAATGTTCTTCTCCAGGTCGTCAATGCGACTGCTCATGTCATCAAGTGGTGACGTTAAAGGCCACACACGACCCACACCCCTCACTCCTCATCCCTTCCCTCCAGGGTCCCCAGAGACTAGGGCGCCCCCCACAACTGTCTGTCTCAGGAACTGCTTTTTCCTACTTCCTGTGAGGGCTGTTGAGTTCTGCTGGCGAAGTGCATGAGCGTGGGGGCAACGATCACGTCCCAGCCGAGCCCTTTACCAGCTCCGGTCTGGGGCCTGGGCAAGTTCTTACAGCCTTCCCAAGCTTCCGCTGTCTGCACGGCTACCTAAAGGGAACACTGTCGCTTCTTCCTCAGGTGCCCTCAGCTCGGTCAACAGTCCCTCTAGACACCGCTGGTAGACGCAAGTCCCTGGGGCCAGGGGTCAACTCAGCTGTATCCGCAGCCCTCCGCACAGTACCTAAGGCTACAGCCAAAATCAGCACCAAAAAAAAAAAAAAAAAAAAAAGGTGGTGAACGACCGCCTGAGGCTGGCCTGCAAACCTCGCATTGTCAACACCGCCACCCGGACTCAGAGGCGAGCTGACCACGCGGACAAAGGATATTTCTGCCAATGATCTGGTCGGACATGGTCTGAAATTTGTCTTGCATCTGTTGCAGGAGCGTCTCCACCTGAGAAACAATGAGACACGGCACCTCGCGCTTGGCCCCGAGACACCTGCGCGGGGTCAGCACGGGGGGGTGGGGGTTGGGGGGCCGGTCCCTGTCCTGCCTGCCCCGAGACACCTGCGCGGGGTCAGCACGGGGGGTCGGTCCCGCCGGGGCCTCTCCCTTCTCCGGGTTTCGGCTTCCCCGCCCATCCAGTGGGCCCTTTCCCGTCGCGGCCGCTGCGAGTCACAGCTCACTGGTTCCTTCGCTCGCTCGGGCGGCGTGGAGGCCTCGGGGCGTGAGGGGGTGCGGGGAGAGCTGGGGGTGCGGGGAGAGCTGGGGGTCGTCCGGGGCCGGGGTGCGGCTCAGGGACATGAGAGCGCGACCAAGGGAGGGGAGGCCGGGCCTGGGGGCCTCGGTTGGCGAAGCCTCTGGAAACCCGGCCCCGTGAGGCCGCGGAGAGGGCGCCTCGGTCCGGGGCTCCCGCGGCCTCGGGCCCGACAGGCGTCCCTTACCACCGAGGTGAGGTCCTGCATGGTCTTGGGGTCAGTCTCGGCCATCTCCCCGGTTCCCAGCTTGGCGGTAAAGCCTCAACCGTCACCTGCACTTCCGTTTGTCCGCGCACACGCCCCGCCCCCTGCGGCCTCCTCTCGCGACGACGAGGCCGGCCGCGGGACCGCGGGGCATTGTGGGCGTCGTAGTTTGCGGCACGCGCCGGAAGGAAGGGCCTGCGTTCTCTCGTTTCCGTTCCGAGCGAGGCCCCGCCCCGCCCCTAGCCACGCCCCTTTAGGCCCCGCCCCCGGGAGGCCCCGCCCCGCACTGAGCCCGGGTAGAGAACACGGGACAGACCCCGCAGTGGGGCCCGTGGAGTAGGGCGGTGGTCTTGGCCTTTTCCCAGGCTGTCGTTAAAGACCGTGCTGTTTTGTTTGGCCCGTCGGGACGCTCTTACTGGGCGCCTGCGAGATGCCAAGCCCAGGACTGTGCCACCGCCTCCCTCCAACAAAACCCTGCAAAATCCCAGGAGGGAAAAGGGGTTGGGTCACTGAGGCGGGGAAACTGAGGCCCGGGGCGGGGGGGGGGGTGAGGGGCACGCCCACCGCGCGCACAGCAGGCCTGGTCACACCCTAGCCCGCAGCGGTTCTCCTCCTTCCCAGGAGGGGGGTCGTGTGGAGGTGCAGGCACATTTGGGCAGGTTGTTTTTTTGAACTTTTAAGTGTATGTTCTAGACGGTGCAGAAATCTTAAGTGACTTTCACCGAGTCCGCACGTGTTAACCAGCTCCAGGTCAAGAAACATGACCAGCCTCCAGGAAGCCCCTCACCTCAGCCCCTTCGCTGTCACCCCCCAGCCCATCCACCCACGAGGGGACCGGTGTCCTGACCTCTATAGCACAATCGTTTGTCTCCTGTGTTTCCACGTCGTGTAAGTGGACCGAGACAGAAGCCCTCCCTAGCCCCCGGCTCCTTGCACGCAGCCTGATGACCTATGGCGTTGAGTGGGGGCGGCGTCAGGGTTCAGAGGCTGGACTTGGCTGTTGAAGGAGGGGGCTGCTGCTGGGTTGGGACCTTGAGATCCCAAGGTGGTCTTGGGATTGGGCCTCATTAACAAGGGGGAAGGTGAGTCCTGGGACTGAAGGCCTGAAAGCTTCCAGCAACTGCTTAGCTAATTTAAGGACAGTGTCTGGGGCTCGGTTTCAGCTTGATTTTAGCTGTAGAGAGGCTGTAGGGACCACACCAGGGTCTGTAACACACCTTGGGGGTTGGCCATGGGGAGCAGAAGACTCAGCTCTCTTCACCAGCCACCTCCTGCCCCCTGACTTCACCCACTCCTCTCTGCTCGCCTCTGCTCACCTCCTCCCTTTCTACCCGCCTCCCCAGCCAGATCTTCTTTCCCATGACAAAGGGGCAAAACTCTAACCACTATGTGGTTAGGACTTTACCTGATTATTAAAATAAACACCTTTCTGTGTTCTAACGTAATCCTCAGAAGAACCCTGTGGTATGATTATTACCATTTTATAATTCTGAGAAAACAGACCAGAGAGGCTAAGGCTCTTTAATCAGGTGGTCAAATTAGGAAGTAAGAGACAAGACTGGAGCCCAGGACTTTCTGACTCTACCTTCTCCTTTTTCTATCATTCTAGAATTCTCTGAGTTGCCTGAGTTTAGAAGCAATGTTGCGCGACAGTGGCATCATTGGCATTTTGGGTCAGATAATTCTCTGTTGTTGTGTGTGTGGGGAGGTGTGCCCTGTACACTGTAGGGTGTTGAACAGCTTCCTTGCCTTCTACCCACTAGATGCTTCTACTTCTCAATGTGACAACCAGAACTATCTGTAGATACTGCCCAGTGCCCCCAAGGGCTGGGGGGAGTTACCCTCCGTTGAGAACGAGTCGCTTTAGAAGGATCTATGTCCATCGCCTAGAATTCTGTTGACTCGGCCTTCAAGTAGGAATTTATTTTCGATTGGGGCATTTCTTGAGAATACTCCTCTGGATGTACTGACACTGGCATAAGTTTCCTGGGCCTGCTGTAACTAAGTACCACCAGCTGGGTGGCTTAAAACAACAGACATTTATATTCCCACAGCTCTGGAGACAAGCAGTGTGAAATCAAGGTGGCAATCTGGTCTGTGCGTCTCTCCTGGCTTCCGGTAGCTCCTGGCAATGTTTCCTTAGCTCGAAGAGGCATCCTGCCCATCTCTGCCTCTAACTTTACATGAGCTCCTCCTAGGTGTAGCCCTCTCTCCTTAGAAGGTCACCAGTCACACGGGATTGGGGACCCACCCTTCTCCAGTATGACCTCAGCTTCCCTAATTACATCTGCAGAGAACTTGTTTCCAAATAAGTTACATTCTGAGGTGTTATGGATTAGGGTTTCAACACGTCTTTTTTGGGAGGGGAGGGAACTCAATTCAACCCAAAGCAGTTGGTAAAGTTACACCACTTGAAATCTGCATCATACCTGATACTTTATAAGGTGTTTACATAAAGCTCTAGGATAACTTGGCTCATGAACAGCCAAGGCTGGGTAGGATTTCAGGCCTTCCTGCTTCTTGCCCCAATCACTGGGGCTCCCACACTCTGCACAGAAGTCTGGATACCCCCACTCTAGACTGGCAGCCGATCTGACTTATGGTTGTGAGCAACACATTAGGCGAATTAGCACTAGGACATACAGTTGTGGTGTGTGTGTGTGTGTGTGTGTTCCTCGCAGGCGACTTGAGTCCTTTTTATTCTGATTGGAAAGTTCTTTACATAAATAGCAAACAAACTTGACACTGTTTAGTGGAGCTTTTTTTTTTTTTTTTCACTTAGGCGAAAAGACAGCATACTTTTTTGTGTGGAGACCGAGGTCTTTTATTAAAGATCACTTTACTTTTTTAATAATTTTTAAAAAATGTTTATTTCTGAGAGAGAGAGAGACAGTGCACATGCAAAAGCTGGGAAGGGCAAAGAGACAGGGAGACAGAGGAACTGAAGCAGGTTCTGCTGTGTCAGTACAGAGCCACATGCAGGACTCGAACTCATGAACCGCGAGATCATGACCTGAGCCGAAGCTGGACGCTTAACTGACTGAGCCACCCAGGTGCCCCAAGACCACTTTGTTTTTTTAATGTTTTTTTATTTTTGAGGGAGAGAGAGAGAGAGACAGAGTGTGAGCAGGGGAGGGGCAGAGAGAGAGGGAAACCCAGAATCCGAAGCAGGCTCCGAGCTCCCAGCTGTCGGCACAGAGGCCCCCAGGGCTCAAACTCCCAAACTGAGACATCATGACCTGAGCCCTCAGGTGATGGAGAGACCAAGGCCTTTTAAGCAGCTGCTTTACACAAAACTTTCCCTGATTTATAGTCATGGCTGATGCACTTACTTTGTGAGATTGATATACTGAACCTAACTGAATTCTGTTCCATTAGTAACACTACAGAATGATGTGCAAGGCGCTAGTAGTTAACCTTTAAAAAGTCAGTTTTGAACAACCCTCGTTTTAAACCTTAGCATTAAAAAAAATCTTTGTAGATTAATTGCGTAACTCAAGTAATTCCCTTTCCCCCTTTTCAGGCAGGGTTGGTTTTACGCGAGTCAATGCCGGCAATTTTCCTACCGGCGGGCGGTCCCTGAGCCCCTCCTCCCCGGACCTGCCCGCGCCCAGGGAGGGGGTCCCTGCGCACAGGTGGCCCCCCGGGGCCGAGAGGCGCGCGTGTGCCCTGGAGGCAGAGGAGGAGCGGTCACCAGGCCCGGAGGAGCTGTGACTCGACTTCGCCCGTGTGCACCTGCACTGGCGCCGCTGGACGCAAAGCTGGTGTGCGCTGCTGTTCACCTGCTCTGCTCTTCTCCCCGCCCGCCCGGCTGTCCGGCTGTCCGGCTGTCCGGCTGTCTGTCCAGACGGCTCCCTCCTGCCCCAGGGCGGGCTGCGCTGCCGCGGCCTGTGGGCGTCCCCAGCCTTTCGTGGCCGCTTCCCGCCACCCCCCCCCCCCCCCCCCCCCCCCCCCCCCCCCCCCCCCCCCCCCCCGCCGTGTCTCCAAACCCAGCGTTTCATCCCTTCAACCTCAGAGGGTAACCTTGTATTCTGTTTTCCAGGGACGGTAGAGACCATTGTCACCTGCGTCCTACCGCCCACGTCGCATAAGTACCTGCACAGGCATCACTCCAGCCCCGTCTGCCAGCCGGACGGGCGACCGCCTCCCTGGGGGGCTGGGAACCTGCCTCCTCCTCCGGCCCCATCCCTTCCTGCGGAAGCCTTCCTCTTGGCATATAAAAGTGGTTAAAAAGAAAAGAAAAGAAAAGAAAACTACCAGGACCCGGCGACCCTGTGCCGCTCTGTGCAATAGGCTGGGCTCTAGAAAGAGAGGGACATGTCGCCTTCAGTTACTGGATCTGCGACCTTCCCTTCCATTCATGCAATTTTGCTTGCGTCCTTTCTATCAAAACGTACTGAGATGATTCTGGATGGTTTGAGGACGTGGTCTACGCTAGTGAGACTCACCTGGAGGTGAGGCAGTTCTTCATTCCGTCTTTGTTTCACTTTGCGAAACGGGGCCGGGCCTCTGTGGGGTGTCCCTGAGTCTGAGCCCTGGCTGACCCTTGGTGGTCTCTCCTTTTAACACAGGGCAGCCTCCTACCCAGGCCTTTGGTGGACATAATGTCTAGCTAACAGGTTAAATCATCTCTTTGGGTTTCATTGTATTTATTTTATTGTGTGTGAAAGAGAGAGAGAGAGAAAGGGGGAGCAGGGGAGGCACAGAGAGAGAGTGAGACAGAGAATCCCAAGCAAGCTTGGGATCCAATGAACCATGAGATCATGGCCTCAGCTGAAATCAAGAGTCCGACACTTAACCAACTGAACCATAGATGCACCTATTATTTAAAAAAATTTTTTTTTAATGTTTTTATTTCTAGGAGAGAGAGAGAGAGAGACAGCATGAGCAGGGGAGGGTCAGAGAGAGAGGGAGTCACAGACTGAAACAGGCTCCAGGCTCTGAGCTGGCAGTCAGCACAGAGCCCGACGCGGGGCTCGAACCCACGAACCGCGAGATCGTGACCTAAGCGAAAGTCGGACGCTTAACCGACTAAGCCACCCAGGCGCCCCACACCTATTATTTTTTAAAACCACTTTTTTGAGTTCTGTGTGAAAAGCTGTATGTATTTAATGTATTCAGCTCGATGAATTTGGGGATAATGATAGTCCCGTG